ATACTTATTTTATATTCATGTCCAAATAACAAAAACAATTTACACTGCTTATCAAAGGCTGGGTGGAGAACACAAGTACAAGGGAGGGTATAGAACACAAGAACAAGGGCGCAAAGTAATAAAAGAAAGTGGTGAATGCTTACTGGTGTCATGTTGGCTGAAGTTATGACAAACTCAGCTGATACATTTCTGATAAGGGCAGTCAGGATTAAACTATATAAACCCTCATGTTTTCTTCCTTTGGACTTGACAATTATTGAAACCGTTCATTATGTGAGGCCACTAGTTTATAATGATATTAATCATCCTACTCTGTCTTTCTTCACTTAATGATAATTTACCTCTCTTACAAAATCAAACACGCCCATGAGTGGGGCCTCAATCTGCTCTCACATCCATTAGAACTTTTTCCCCATTAATGTATACAGATTGTCTTGTAAAACTATTCAGTTCACTGCCGTATAATCAAATTCTGGAAAATAAATTTGAATGAAGGCATACAAAGGGGATTTACACACTTTTTAAACTATGGAGAATCTACAAATCTCTAAAATTAAGGGTAAAACACACATTTCATAAAACTAGAGCATTGATCTCATTACACAATAGAGATAGAGATTTCTAGATTAAATTCTGAGGTCACGATTATTTGACATATAAACAATAGTCGAGAATAAATCTCTATGAAATGTCTGTGTACCATACTCTTGAAATTTACAGCGTTAAAATATTTATCATAATAAATTGGATAAGTTACATTGGTTTAAACCCAAACTGTTCCTTAATTCTTGCAATATATTTGCAATGCCACTCAAAGAAAGAAAGGGTTTGCATGTTAATTATGTTTCTTCAAGAGCTTTTAAATACTCAAAGTTTTTCTTGTTTTTCCATCTGGTATATACACGAATAAATAATAAGATTTTCCGACGCGAGAGCAGGCCACATACATCTGTCCATGGGCGAAGCATGGGTTTTCCAAATTTAGTCCGCAAACTTGTAGCGATTGTCCCTGTGCTTTGTAGATAGTCATTGTAGACGCATGTCGCATCGGAAACTGTAGGCGTTTGAATTCAAATGGCATATATGTTGGAATCATTGGGGTGAATGGCAAAAGTACATCACCTAGTTTAAATTTTCCATTTAAAATAGTAACTTCAATGGAACCAATTTCGGAAGATTCATTTGAAAAAATGTACCGTACCTAATTCTTCGATATCAAAGTGCGTTTCTCGTTGCAAATCAAGAGCGAAAAGTTTTTTTGCAGATCGATTCCGAGAGGTCATTCCCAACTCATGAATCATCAATCGATATGAATAGTATTTCATGGCACTGTCTTTCTTATTCGAATTTCTCAATTTGATGTCAAAATGATATCCATCTTCTCCTTGCCAAAATAAAATAGGATATTGCAATCAAACGTATGAGCGATGAGTTTCTGAGACTCGCTGAACATCAACACTTCTGCGATGAAGAATTATATCACGTGAGTTAAATTCTTTGCCAACTATAATGATCGCCACTTCATCAATTGTTGGTGCATTGTATTGTCTTTCATGTTGGCCGACAGGTTTTTTGTCTGCTCTAACTATGACTTTGTATTCATCAGTCGGCATCTTTTCAAGTGCAATTCTATACATTTGAATTAATTCGTTGTGTTGCAAAAATAACGTTTGCATTGCAGCGACGATTTCTCGTTTAGTGCCCGTATTGATATGACAACGTTGATCGATTTGCTCATCAGTATTCCCCATGAAATCATTTGAAGACATTTGTGATCTACGATGGTAAATTTGGCCTTTCACTTTACTTTAAATGTTGGCATGTAATTCTCGCGCACGATATTTGTTGCACCGAACGATGTCATTTGGAAACATGAATTGCATTTGCGTATGTTTGCCAAGAAATTTTCGATTGGCTATTTTCACCTGATACCAACAATGATAATGGTTTTGATGGTGAATGTAATTCTCACACGTTAGGATCTCCCATCTTTTTAAATGAAAACCTCGCACAATAGGTACATTCATTTTTGGCAGGAGATTTCCAGTTGTATAGTTTCTCATTAATTTATAAATCGTAAATTCCAGCGGTAAAAAAATGACCATAGTTCAATATCTACGCTGTCAAGTGTGTTATTTAATTACTTGAGAAACCATCGATTGGTGTAAAATGTACTTACATAACACAAAACAACTCCGAAATTATAAGACTCTATTCAAGAAATACTCTTAGTTGAAAAAAACACGTGATTTCGATGTCATTTCCGATTCTAAAATGCGTCACAAAATTCAAGCTTATTTATACACATAACAAAAATACTCTCTACACTAAAAATGTAAAAACGTGTTTTCTCTGCTTTACTACAAATGTCATTTGTTCAAGGGCGTTAGTGTTGATATCTTCGTTATAAAATATTTTGATGAAGCTCATTTAAGAAAATAAATTGAATTTAGGGTCCCCAGCCCTAACTGGAATATTGTACAATGGATGTACTAAATTTGAAAAATTTGCCGGCGGATTCAGTTACTTCCACACATGCAATAGCTCTGTTTGAAAATATAGTTACAAAGCTCTTAGAAGAAAATATGAAATTAGGGTCACTGGCCCAAACGGAATATTGTAAAATGTTTTTTTCTAATTTAGAAACATTTTTTGTAGTGTGCATTTCACTTGACCCAGTTTGATCACAATCGAATGAATGGTATAGAAATGCATACTATAATTATATAGATAATAGAAGTGTGGAAAACGAATTTAGGACCCCCCTCCACAAATGGAATATTGTAGAATTGTTGTATTACTTCAGAAACCTACTTAATATGTCACACACTCAATTTAATATCACTATTTGTATTTGATTAAAAAGTTATCCATTCATGCTTTAGCTCTGTTTGAAATTATAGTTGTATAGCTTAAAATTATAGTTGTATAGCTTATATAGAAAAAACTAACATAGGACCCCTGGCTAAAAACGGAGTATTTTAAAATGGTTGTAATCATTTAAGAAACATTTGCGGGCGGGCGCACAACATCTCTCTAAAATTTTATCGCATTGTAATAATGTAGAGGAGCGCATACGGAAATTATTTTTTATAAAGCTCCTAATGTAAGGAAAAAAACACGAATTTGGGCCGATTGCCAAAAAAAACCGGAATATTTTAGTAAAGTTATAATGGCTTAGAAAAATGCTCTGGCTTATGGACAACAAGTCACTTCAGTTTTATCGCAAGCGCTTGAAAGATGTAGGAGCGCATGCGGTTTGAAATTATATTTATATAGCTCATTTTGTAAGAAACAAACACAGGGCCCCTGGCTCAACACTGAATATTTTAAAACGGTTGTAGTAATTTAAGAACATTTGTGGGCGATAGAACAACATCTCACTAATTTTTTATCGCATTCTGAAAATTGGTATAGGAGCGCATAGATAATTATTTTTTACAAAGCGCATATAAGAAAAATAAGAATTTGGGTCAACGGCCCAAAACGGAATATTTTAAAAGTGTTGTAATGAATGGTTATGTTTATAGATAACAACTCGTCAAAGTTTTGTCGCAATCGCGTGAATGGTGCAGGAGCGCATACGGTTTGAAATTATATTTATATAGCTCGTATAAGAAAAAAACGTAAATAAGGCCGCTGGCTAAAATTGGAATATTTTGAAAAGTTTATAATAATTTAAAAACCTTTGCGGCCGTGCTTCCAACATCTCACCAAAGTTTTAAGTTTTATTGCAATCGAATAAATGGCGTAGGAGCGCATATGAAAATTATTTTTTACAAAGCTCATATTAGAAAAAATACGAATTAAGGGCCAACGGCCGAAAACAGAATGTTTTTAAAAGTGTTTAAATAACAAAGTAAAATGCACTGACGCATGGACAACCACTCACTAAGTTTTGTAGCAATCGCATGATTGGTGTAGGAGCGCATACGGTTTGAAAATATATTTATATAGCTCATATTAGTAAAAACGAATATGAGGCCCCTGGCTCAAAAATGAATACTTTAAAACGGTTGTAATAATTTAAAAACCTTTATGGACATGCTTGCAACATTTCATCAAAGTTTTATTGAAATCGGATAAATGGCGTAGGAGCGCATATGAAAATTATTTTTTACGAAGCTCATATAAGAAAAAAAAACGAATTAAGGGCCAACGGCTAGGAAAAGAACACTTGATAAGGTTTCTAATGACTCAGTTAAATGGCCGGTTATGTGTACAACAACTGACTAAAGTTTTCTTGCAATCGCATGGATGGTGTAGGAGCGCATGCGAGACATACAGACATACAAACATTCATTTATATATATAGAGAGAGAGATAATGCTAATTTGATGTCAACGCAGATCTTAACAGTATATTTTACGCTGGCAATCAACTGCGGGGTACAGGACACATGAATGTATAAATTCCATGGGATTTTATTGCGACGAACATTCCAACAAAACGCTTCATCAGGAATTCTGAATAATGTTTAAATTTTAGATTGGGTCTCGAATTTTAAGAAAAATTGCTTGGCTAAAGATATTTTCATTTAGTATTTAGTAAACATTCAACAGTTATGTGAAAATTTTCATTAAGTATTTAGTAAACATTCAATAATTATGTGAAAATATTAATTTAGTATTTAGTAAACATTCAACAGTTATGTGAAAATATTCATTTAGTATTTAGTAAACATTCAACAGTTATGTGAAAATATTCATTTAGTATTTAGTAAACATTCAACAATTATGTGAAAATATTCATTTAGTATTTAGTAAAATTCAACAGTTATGTGATAATGTCCATGAAGGTTTCTTCTTTAAGGGACCGCGTTAAGTGTACTCTAATAAAATCAAATGCCTCAAGACTATTCGTGATAATTCTTACTCTAGAGTAGTAACAAGGCCATGGCTGAGTACTCTAAGACAAACAGCAGTGTATTGCTTATTAGTGGAGATGAATATATATTAAAACTAAAACGTAGATTAATAAAAGAGTCTCTATATAATGAAAATCAATTTTCTTCAAGTTTCTTCATCAACTGCTCCATCGAATTTCTCGCCGTCTGCGGTCTCATCGGAAATATTCTCAACATCATCATCCTGTCTCATCATCGCTTCAAGGATACAACCAACATCCTGCTGACGTCACTGTCGTGCGACGATTTGCTTTGTTCACTGACCGAAGCCATCTTTCGTGTACCCTACATCATGCAGGCATTCTACCCGTGCCCTCCCTTTTTAAATTTTTGTCGTCAATACCTACTGATCTTGATCAACTTAGCATTGTCACAGAGTCAACTACTAGCGGCGGTCATCGCTGTAGAGAGACTCGCAGCCGTGTGGTTTCCCTTTCTTGTGTCACGTGTCTTCACTCCAAGACGTGTAATGATTTTAATCGTCCTGCTCCACGTCATCACATTCTTGATGGTTTCGCCGGGTTTCGTCCGTTATCATGGCATATGGAGGAATGCTCAAATAAATAATGTCACTATTTACTACTTTTTCCTTAAGGACATGAGTAATGCAGATCTTCAAGTCATCAATTGGTATATGGTTTTTTTTGTCAACATAATCTACTCCACTCTGCCACTGCTCATCATTCTTGTCTCTTCAACTCTAATCATGATAAAAATGCATATCATCTCAAAAGAAATGAAAAATCGTTTAGCCTCTGGTGTGAAATCAAAGAAGCTGAAAATTTTGAAAGCCACCAAAATGTTACTGGTAGTCTGTTTTTTTTCGCTGTTGGTGTGTTTCGTTACATGTATTTTATATATAGTACCAATGCTAATTGAAGTTGACCATCACTTTTTTAAGGTATGTGATGAAATTACTCATTTTTTTTCCCAACTTGAGACGGTGGTCAATTTTATCATATATGTTTCGATGAGCTCAAAATTTGCCCAAACTTACAAAAAATTGTTTTGTACTTTTTGAGGCGCAAAACACACTTCTAAACAAATATTGTCTTTATGTCAGTCTACCTTTAATTTCATAATAAATACTAAGATTGAACAAAAAATATCTGATTTGCTTTATTGCTTTTTTGTGTCTATATTATTGTTCAAGGACTTAAGTCTAGAGATTTGACTTGAACCCACTTTTGAAAGTTCGGATTTGATTCCGCTGGGTAACAGCTTCAGTTTGAGTTCATTTATGTAACAGCTTAAGTTTAAGTTCAGTTAGGTAACAGCTTCAGCTTCAGTTCAGTTAGGTAACAGCTTCAGTTTGAGTTAATTTAGGTAACAGCTTCAGTTTGAGTTCAGTAAGGTAGCAGCTTTAGTTTTAGTTAATTTAGGTAACAGCTTCAGTTTGAGTTCAGTTAGGTAACAGCTTCAGTTTGAGTTCAGTTAGGTAACAGCTTCAGTTTTAGTTAATTTAGGTAACAGCTTCAGTTTGAGTTCAGTTAGGTAACAACTTCAGTTTCAGTTCAGTTAGGTAACAACTTCAGTTTGAGTTAATTTAGGTAACAGCTTCAGATTGAGTTCAGTTAGGTAACAGCTTCAGTTTGAGGTCAGTTAGGCAACAGCTTCAGTTTGAGTTCAGTTAGGTAACAGCTTCAGTTTGAGTTCAGTTAGGTAACAGCTTCAGTTTGAGTTCAGTTAGGTAACAGCTTCAGTTTGAGTTCAGTTAGGTAACAGCTTCAGTTTGAGTTCAGTTAGGTAACAGCTTCAGTTTGAGTTCAGTTAGGTAACGTCTCTATGTGTGGTTCGATTCGGTACAAAATAAGGGTTTTTATACCGTCAAACTTCTGAGGCGTACTGACATACTACTGAGTTGTATTGTCATACTATTTAGGCGTACTGTCATTCTACGGTGCAAACTGACATACTACTGTGTTTAAATGTCATGTTGTTGTTCGTCCGTCAAAATCGACTAGGACCATCGAGTCATCCGTTTAGGGGGAGGGTGGGTTACGGTGAGCTCATAAGTGGCTTGCTAGTCCGATCCGTGCTCGGAATACTCTCTGGCACCTCGGGCACGGGATACATGCTGCAGTCGGTGATCTAATAATATCTAATCTATAATATTTAATGTCATACTATTGACGGATATTATCGAGGCTTAATATCATACTACTGAGTTGTAATGTCATACCACCGAGACGTACTGATATACTACTGAGTTGTAATGTCATACCTCCGAGACGAACTGATATACTACTTAGTTCTAATGTCATACTATTTAAGTGTATTGTCATTCTACTAAGGCGAACAATCATAGTAATGAGGCGTACTGTCTTACTACTGAGTTGTTCTGTCATACTTTTGAAGCGTACTGTCATACTACTGTGACGTACTGTCATAATACTGAGGCGAACTGTCATTCTACTGAGTTTTTCTGTCATACTATTTAAGGGAACTGTCATACTACAGGGATGTACTCCACTCTATCAAACAACCTACATCTCGCATCATTTAGGTTTTTTTAGTTGTAAACAAAAGAAAAATCTATTTCTTTTAGTTCTCGACCTGGTTGATGACATTGAATGATACTTAAAGGTTGTTTTTTTTTTTCATTTGTCAGACCTTAATACAAATCAAGTGTGTAATTGGTCAGGCAATAATTCAAATCAATTGTTTAATTTTTCATTTGGTGATGTGCAAAATTTGTAAAACATTGTCCGTTCCTATAATTTTGCAACATTTGATTTGGTTCGAACTCAGTGAGGTTGAAGTTCGAATTCAGTTGACACCAGTGTTCTAGTTCTCTGTGTTCGGGTTCTGTGGTCACCAGGGTTCGAGTCCTCCGTTATCTTTTCGATGACCATCACTACTTTAGTACTGAGCCACCGTCGGGAGTTACCGACCAAAAGACGTCGTCATGTGATTATGAGACGATTATGTGTACGTTGTACACTGCACCATGTCATGCCGCACACCCCATACCCTTCTTTTCTACTGATCTCATACAGTCAACAGTGAGACTTGCGTTTATCAAGGCTCGAGTTTTGAAAAGGTTTTCAGAAGTTCTTAGCGAGACGTTTAATGCAATAAAGGATTATTTTGTAGACCATCCATTTACTGTATTGTTCATTGCTGTATAGCAATGTACATTGCAACTTCTCATAGGCATTCGACAACGCTGACCGCCGTTTAGGAATGTCCTAGTCTATAGGAGACCATGAAAGTGAGTCAGTTGAGACAATCAATTGATTTGAAAACTTGCCAACAAATCAATGTTGAGGTCCACTGTGTAATTTGAGGATGTTTGAATGGGATGAACTTGCAGTGAAAGGTCCTAAGTATGTATACCCTTTGTTTTTAATGTGTGTGTTATTTAAGGGCCATCCTCATCGTACGTAATCAGAAATATTCAAATTTTCGACCCCCTTCCAAGCCTACATGTTTGAGGACCTCCCTTGCGACCGTACAGTGATCTTTGGACCCCAATCCCACAAACACCCCCCTACCCCAGAAAAAAAAAGATAAACAACAAAAAGTCCAATAAGTATTATATAATTATAAGATTAAAGCAAGTAAGTTGCGTCTAGGGGTTTTCACCGTTGGCTATTCTGCGACCCAGTGGTTCCCATAATATACGTCCCACCGTCCTGGGTCTCCATTGCCCTCGGACAGGGCCATGAAAATTGGGCGGGAGTAACATTCGCCAAAATCAAGGGGCGCCAAAATCGCCCTCATAAAGTACCTTTATAGTGACTTAAACTATACCATTTGATATACTCCACAAGGACTATGGAGGCCCGGGGGGAGGGGGGGTACATCTTTTTTCTCTGGTGGGGAAGGAGTGTGCCACACCTTCCACAAAGGGGCGTTGCGAAATATTTTTTAAAAATTCATAATTTTGTTTCCACTTTTAATCCAATGTGACATCTAGCGATCGCGGTGCAAACAGTGACTCACTTGACTAACTACTGTTTTCACGCATACTTGATGACGCATAGAGGGAGGGGGGCGGGATAACGATTAAATAGACAAAATAAAACAGAAAACAGCATTTATATATTTATAAAATATGAAATTTATATTTTATATTAGACTGACCCATGGGTATACTTGGATTATACTTAAATCAGCCACCCCCCCCCCCCCCCC